CATCACCATCACCATCATCGTCGTCATCATCATCATCATTATCATCATCATCATCAACAGCAGCAGGAGGCGGCTGCAGCAGCAGCTGCAGTAGCAGCAACAGCCGAAGCACCATTCATAGCAAGTTTGGTGCTTTGCAGTCTGTGTTTGATTGAGTCGAGTTGTCTATGCAATCCACAAATCAGAATTCATCACATGGGTGAAGGTCGTGCATAAAACGGAGGCAAGGATAGTCGGTAAACGCCGTAAACCCGGGGTGAAGGACGGTCGCGAACTCTTCTACATCAATTTCTCCTTCCGCTCCATGAACCACAATCCGGACCATCTTACTTAAATCTAACCTACCCCCAAACTCTAAGCGCAAACACGATGCTACCCCCGCCCAAAACGGACCTCCAGCGCACTCGCAAACACCAACACCCAAGGTAAATTCACTTGAATACCCTAGGCCCTAGGCAACCTCCCAAACTTTAATCTCTGGCCCCCGCCCCTGGCTGGCGCCAAAGAACGGTTTCTTGAGGAGCCGGGTCAACGGCCAATCTTTGCCTCCAAGTCCATCTCCAAGGCTTACATACTGCATGGCCATTACCTGGACCCTGAAAGTATGTAGGACAGAAGCCCTTTAGGGGTTTGGGGACAATATTTCACCCACTTTTGATGGGTTTAGGTAATTATTTGGTAGATGATGTTGGTAGCACACTCGCTACTGCTATGAACAACAAGACTGTTATAGTATGGTGTACATATGAATATCATATGTGTAAATGTACTTGCGTGGCAAATATTCGCTGTGGTGTGTTCTATGTTTTGGCACTGTGCTGTGGAAGGGTTTCAGGGTTTCGGGGTTGGGGGTTATGTTATATCATGATATGAACCCTAAACCCTAAACCGTGCTACAAGTTTGTAAGAAGACAGCTGTATCCGGGATCCTTTCCTTCTCGCAGCACATGTTAGGGTACATTTTTGGTACAGTAGGGTATGTTCTCCCCCGTTGTGGAGTTTATACTTCAGGTTTGGGTGTCGAGGGTGTTGCTGTGGAAATGTCTTGGATTTATGCTTTGGAATTTGGGGTCAAGGGTGGCTGCAATTGCGCTTCAGCGGGAAGGACCGTTAAGGGGGTTTCGGGGTGGGCAAAAATCCTTGTCGTGTGTCCTCCTCGCGGGCGCTTCCTGGCAACCTCGTGCTGCATGGCAGCCTCGAGGGCTAACCTTGCCGCATCTTTGATCTCTGGTCGTGCGCTGCTCTACGCAGCCGCCGAAGTGCATCTGCCTGCCACTAAATTAGTGCATGTGGCGTACAGTCTGGCAGCACAGGCGATACTCATACGCGGAATCAAAGCAAACCAGCTTCCTCCGCAGTCGTTCTTTGTTCGAGGCAAGCTGATGCTAGAAGCCAGACCCGTCAGTATGGCTGATAACCGATCGCCACTTGGCTTGCACACTTCTCTGCCTATCCCCTTGTGGTGCGTGCCTATCATGGCAACGCGTGTTCCGGGAGCACGCGGACTGAAGGGCCGAACCTCGGCGTGGAGATCATCAGCATGCTGGACGGGGCCGAAGTGAATTGCGATTCACCTCCTGGGTGGGACAAGGCTGGGAAGCCGATGGAGGTGCAATATTACCTCTGTCCGGCCTGGTGCACGATTTCGGCTAATGCACGGGCTGTTGTCAGCCAGAGCTCAAGCTCCCGCCCACCCACCCGTCGACGGCTGGCAAACGGTCATGCCTCGAGTCAGGTTTGACTCTTGGCATGACGTTGGTGTAGTTCTTCTTCACTCCTTTTCAGGAGCTGCTAGATGCAGCCTTGCTGACACACGACTTCGCAGGACGGCGGAGCGCATGAAAAACTGAGAGCAGCTGCTTTTTTGAACCCTAAAACTCTACAATGAACCCGAAACCCTTAAATCCTGAACCCAGAAACATAATTAAACCTAAACCCCTAAACCCTACACGACTTATGTTTCGGGAAAAGCGGATCAGAAAGCGGGTTCCTCACTGCCAGCCCCAAACCCTATGCCCTAAAGAGAAGCCTAAGTTAGGGTTTAGGATTGTATGGTTATAGGGTTTAGGGTGCAGGATTATAGGGTTATACAGTTATCGGGTTTGCTGTTGTAGGGTTTACTGTTATAGGGTTTGGGGCTTACAGTGTCAGAACCCCGAACCTAAACATGGCATCTGAAGTCAGGTGGGCGAAGTCTCAGAGCTCTTGAGGGCTCAGGGTGTATACAGCGTTTTGTGTTTGCAAGGTTTAGGGTTTTGGGGCTTAGGGCTTAAAGGGCATAGGATTTATAGGCCTTAGGATTTAAGGCTTATAGGGCCGAGGGTTTACGGTTGAGGATGTTCATGCACTTTCGATCGTATGTTGGTTGGGTTTTCTGAGTGTTTTCTGGTTTCTCCATTTTGGTTGTATCATTATTCTGGGTGGCACTCAGCAAGTTGGTCATCGCAAAGAAGAAACGAGATGGGGGAGCGCCGACCGATGCTAGGTATAAAGGCCTTCAAAGAAAACCTGAATGCTTAAACTTGGGCCTAGACCCTTATAATCCCTGTTAACTCGCCTAAACCGTAAACTCCCGGACAGCCTGGGCAGGTCACCACAGAGAGAAGTCGCCCGCCGCGCCTTCCGCAGGTCCCCCGTCACCCTTCCGACGGTTTGGGGTTCTGGGCTTTGCGGATCGCGTTATTGGTATAGGGCTAGAGGCTTAGGACTCAGGTTGTTGGTTTTAGGGCGTAGGGTTTATGGTTTAAGGGCTCGGGTTTAGGGCTTAGGGTGTTTAGGGTTTCGTGCTTAAGGCGTAGAGTTTGTAAAAATGCAGTATCGTTGTCATCCGGGACCAGCTAGATACTGGGCCGCTGGCCACTTCAAGGCTGCAGACACTGCTTGTTCTCGGGAGCCATGAACCCCAAATCCTAAACCCCAAACCCTAAACCCTAAACCTAAACCTTAAGGCCTAAACCCTAAACCCCGGCCACAAAGCACTGAACCCCGAATCCCCGAAGCCTCTCAAGTCCTCAATTTCTGAAGCACCGAGGGTGCGACAAGAGTGAGGGTTTCGGGTTCGAGGAGGTTCTTCAAACTGTAGCATGCGCTTCGGGTTTACCTTACAGCTCTGGTGTATGCTTTTGGGTTTGGTTCTTTTTGGTTTGTGGTCTCGATGATGGAGAATTCCAGCAACTATTGTTGCTGCTTACTTGCACCCGAACAGTATGCAGAATTATAGCCTTTTGTAGGCGTTGGGCCTTTGTTTTGCCTATTTGGGCGGGGGCGAGTTAGGCGTTTCAGGGGAGCAGAGACAGGGAACGCCAGTTTTTACTCGAGGGCTGCGATTTGGGGTGTAGCAAGAAGCAGCCCCACCTCCCCATGTGAATCATAAACGTGAAGCCCTTAACCCTGTAGGAGAAATAATTAGCAAAGTATTCCCTATAGGTTATCATGTAAATGTGGGACAATATGAATCATTAAGGCCCCCCTATGTAATGCTAGATTCAACCCTCGCCTACGATGTTTTCGTGCTCACTGAGGCCAAAAGCATGCACTTCAACCCACACGTGTGGGCTACTCGCCATATCCGGCGATACTGTCAGCACGAGGATACTTGCCTGCACCACATGTAGAAATCACACATCCTAAACACCTAAACCCTAAACCCTCAAACCCTAAAGCCCTAAACCCTAAACCCTGACACCCTAAACACTTCAACCCGACGACTTAAATCCCAAAGCACGAAATGGTTCCGGACTTCAAGGTTTAGCTGCCATCCATGTCTACACTCTAAGCCTGATGAAAGCACATTCAAAAGGCCAAGGGTTTAGGGTTTAGGGTTTATGCTATACACTTGCTACAGAGCGTGAAATCCGCTAAATCGCAAGCTTTCGACGCTGAAACATCATCCCCCTTGTTGGCAAAAGGGAATTCAACTTCGCTGGTCCTTTGTTGGGCATGGCAATGCCTTAAAACACCTACCAAACCATATGCAACCCTATAAATACACCCTTCGAAGATGCTTCTAGAAACCATTGTTTCGGTGATCTTGTCTGCCCCTTGCAACCCGAGGACGAGGACGAAGAGTTCGAGGAAGGCCTTTATACTGTCCAGCTTTAGGATTCTGGGTGTAGGGTTTTTGGGTTTAGGGTTTTCGGGTTTAGGGTTTGCGGGGTTTAGGGTTTTAGGGTNNTTTAGGGTCTAGGGTTTCGGGAGTTTAGATGAGGTAGCGAATTCCATTCAGCAGTATGGCTGTGTTGCTAGTTGTGAGCCTGAAGAAGGTGATGCTGCCGATTGTAACTTTTGGAACCACTACGAAGTTCGCAAGTTTCTAGGTCCTGTCGAGTGACTGGTTCTGCAGCAGTCTGGAGAAGAAGTTAAGACCCCTACCCAGAACCCTTCAACCCTAAAGCCTAAACC